TCACAATGTATATCAAGAAAAATTCCCCACACAATTAAATCACCGTCAGAATCCTTAATTACTGATACAAGGCGGGATTGGTGTATATTTTCATATTGTTTACGCCAAATTCTAGACTTATCATCCAAATGTGTTGCAGCAGAAATTGAGACTCATTAGAGCAGCCAATCTTTTATTATCCACTTTTTGTGATCCTTAGCGAATTGTAGCCCCAAATTATTGTTCTTATCTGACGAGAGTGGAACCCGCCATAATTTCTAAGGCTGTAGACTATTTACTTCAAGGTTATATGTATTGTGCGTTCATAGTTACTCTTCTGTATACCTCAGTGTAAAGTAGTTATTTGAGCTTTTATTAATCATTTCACCCCAAGCAAGGCGGGAGTGTCACTAGCACGAAAGAGGTTATAGAGGTTGGGGGCAAGAGTAAAGAAACGTGATTGAGGAAAAGATAAAGAGAAGGACGGGGAATTAGATGAAGGCATCAGAAAATGTTGATTGATATTATATTTGAATATTTGAAGACTATAACTGTCAGGGAAGCAAGTATGACGAAGGGAGTTCCACAGATGGGAAATCCGAGACATGAAGCTATTAGAGTAGAAGAGACGGCTATGTTTAACAGTCTCGACAATGGAAGTGTGGGACAGAGATGCCAACCCAGTAACACGTTTAAATTCTTGCAGTTTGGGAATCAGCGAAAATAGCTCGTTGGAGCAGTTACCATGAAAGTACCGGCACGTCTGTGAGAAAGTGACTGTAGGCGAGATACCAGACAAGGACCAACCACATTGTATTTCCTTATCTGGATTTTGCTGAAGACCTTGAGACAAACAGCGGGGGCTTCAGACCATATATAGCAACAGTATTCCATGAAAGTGCAAAGGGTTGATTTATAGATTTGAAGGATGAGCTCAGGCGAGAAAAACTTTCTGGCGCGACACAGAGAACCATCTTTCCTTGCGGTAGATGAAGCTATTGATTCAATGTATTTGTTCCATCTTAGATCAGCGGACAATGTGAGACCAAGCAGGCGCAGAAAGGCGCTCTCGTGGAGTTGAGTATCAGACATTCTAATGGGAGAGCAGTTTTCTTTTTGAGGCATTAGAGTTTACCAGCTATTTCCTGCCCCAGTCCCAGTCCACAGATTTAGAGGTCCTCTTCGAGACCAACGGTCAGGTTAGTTTTGCTGCCTTTCTGTCAGCTGGAATCAGTTTGACAATTCTTCTTTTATCAATAAGGGATTTCCGCACGCATAATTGCGATTTACTATTTTTATTTCTTTTTCTAACTGTTGTGGTAGGATCCACCTAATTTGCATAGTGGAGTACCGACCATATAAATATGGTTGGTACCGGGAAGAGAGGAGTGGAATCAAGAGATTCAACCAGAGACTCTGCCCGACTGCGACTCAGTCAACACATTCTCCAGGAACGGTCTTACCAGGAATATACAAAAGACTATATGTAAATATTGTGTACACTTTCTTGTTTCAATACATTTTTTTCTAAGTACATTTTGTGTTGCATTATTATTCCATGCATTAGTCAAGTTTCAACACTAACCATTCCTTATAAATATTAGGGATGATTGTGCTTGAAAATCTGAGTAGATCATCAGTTTCGTACCAACGATCATACTACATTCAACTTCACTTAAATGGCATTTCTTTCCAATGCTAATGCACAAAGTAAAATTATGCATGGCCATATTTAGCTGCCTATATCGATTTAATTGCTGTCACGTCAACGTAAATTTAGAAATTTGTATAAAAGAGCATTTATTAAGCGGACAGTGAACAGATATGAAAGTATTCGTTCAAGAGTCAAACTTGACCACAGATAAGCATTAGAGTTTGTATTGAAGATGCAACCATCTATATTGACAATGAAACCACTCGTTTTGCTCCCATTGTGTTGTAGTCTTTGTATCAAAATTGATCTATTTTTGGCCCGATGACTTCACTGTCTCCTGAAAAGGTTTATATTAAAAAAAAAGAAGAGAAAACGTACTTAAAAGAAGCATATGATGTTCATTGTTTTATGATTGAGTTAAATATAAATAAATTATTAATGAAAGTAATTCAATTCGTTTTCAGATATTCATCGGTGATGTAGAGCATTTATATAAAAGATGCAAAGAGAATATATTTAAAAAGATAAAGAGATTTGTAAAATTTAAAGATTCTGTTTAGTGGCATACTTTCTACACCACATTCAAAAAAACGTTTGAAGAGGTGTTATGATATTATAGTCTCCACCTTATATAAAACTTAATGTTGAGTTATTTGGCCAGATTGTAGGAAGTGGGTTGGGTCGATAACTTTTCAGCACCCACTCGTACAAATGCTTATATCATTAAGATGCTTAGTTATTTCTTCAGTAAATATTTGTTCAGATGCTGCCGATAAAGTTGGTATGTGGATCTGGCCTAAGCCGTGGAAAGAAATCCATAAATACTTCTTAAGATAGGTCACCCCTAAGTAGTCGAAATAAATCCGACACAGAAACCCTATTAAAAGAGATAAAAATAACCCATTACAATTGGAATGTAAATAGAATCTTCTGTGAATTTTATGACCTCAGTCAACTCACTTGGGAATTCTTTTCACGCAACTTTATCAAGAGCATTTTCATACAGATTTGAAAATGTCAATTTAATAACTGATTCCTGATTAATTACGATAAGGAAAATACAATGGGCACCAAGACTAACAAGAAGAAAGAATTTTACCAAGACAATCGTTGCAGATAACCGAAAATATATGTGTTTATGTCTAAAACAGAACTGGCTGGTACAGGTCGGATTTAAAAAAGAAATAAAGAATATATATTTTTGAAGTGATTAAATAGCAAAAAAAAAAAAAAAAAAATCTACAAAATATATCCAACCAATTTGCTTACTTCGTGATAATTCATTTCAATGAATTTGTAAAGCTTCCCGGTCGCCTGATTACTTTGGAAGTTTTGCTGTGATGTAGCATTTCGTTTGCTATCCGAGAATTTATCCCTCAAAAATCTAAATTGAGAGTGGTTGATGTAGGAAATGCTGATCACGTTTCCAAAAATAATATACCATTGAGTTAAAAATATACGAAAATCTTTAAAACAATTGTCAGTCATTTACGCCAGAAAAATTTTCAAAATAAGTAATCTCTAAATTACAAAAAACGGAAATATGACAACTTATACACAGGGTTAACCCCATGTTCAGATTGAGAAAGCATTTTGAAAATAGAAACTTTAAAATAGCATTGGCCAACACTTATTTTGGTGCAAAGATGGAAACACTCTTTCTTGACTAATTTGAAGACACCCAATCCAAATATGATGTCAATTTTTTTTTCATATTAGTTAGTGTTTCCTCTGTACCAAAATGTTTAATTTTGGCAAAAGTTTTCATTTTACCTCATTTTTTTATCGAGTGAATTCACGATTTTCAGATTATAAATTGAAAATCTAAAATTGTAATCAACTCAAGTTTATTAATAAAAAGTAATGTGATATTTCAACGATGAATGATGGCTCTATAAAAATGGATTTTACCATAACCTGATCATTTTTATAAGTAGTTACCAATGTGTATAAATATCTCCGTTCACATCTGTATTCAAACTATTGAATACCAATGTACACTATTCATAATTAAACTGTCTATAGTCTTATCAGTGGTGTGCCCATCGTGAATTTTTTGTATGATCTATAGATCATACAAAAAATTCACGATTAAGATAGGTTTGGTGTTTTATATGAGTTTATTGAATTTAGTTGATATGTAGTAAAAAGTCTTCTTTTACTTCGTATCTAAATACAATGCTGTTTTCACACTTTGCTTTATTTTTACACCTTAATACCCAGACAATGACTTCAAGCAGAGGATGCAAAAACAATTCATACCTTATTGAGATAACCTTTGTTAAAGGAGCTTATCACATTTCTAAACAATGGAACCTATTTCTAACTGGATACTCTGAGAACGGATGCCAGAAATTTTACCCCATTCCTCAGATAACCTTTACCCTGCTATATAGGCATTAACAGCAAACTAATTAGGTATTAGTTGGTTTTGAGAACTATGGTGTACAACTTACAGCAAAGATAGCGTTCTATTTTGTACCATAAATGGTTGGCTACTTCTTCCTAGGTTTTCTGATCATACAGCTGTTTCATATTAGTAACATATCTCGTAATAAAATGAACTGCAGGCAAAGGCCAGTCGAGATTAGAAAGATGTATGGCACTTCCTATTGAGCAGACCAAAGATTAAGTGACTAAGAATGTATTCGTCCTGCTTCAATCCCTCAGCACTGTTAGAATTGGTCGTATACTACAAAATAATAACTCTGTTATAAATGGTCATAATTGTCAACAGTGTCAAAAACCAATAACATTCTCTATCCTTTGTAGTCATATTATTTGTGTGCATGTAAAAACTTCAAGATTAGTACAAATATCTAAAATAAAAAATTAGCATTTCTTTAAATATAAAGTCAATTATAAATTTTGGGACGTTCGTATTTTTACCATCTTTCATGTGCTGGTTTTGTTAAACATTTATAATATGATCGATCATCGTTGATGGCTCAAAAATATTCCAAATCTGATATTGTATAAATGATATAATTTCTAAGCAATAGCCATTAGAAATCCCTAAAAACAGACTTTAGGAGAAATTAGATACTTGTTAGCAACAAATTTCGGTTTTTATCTGGAATTTCCATATTGCATATAATTAAGGCGTAAAAAATAATTGAGTATAACATTGAGTTTTCAATCATTCTTGACAGCCAAAAATGTTAATTACTGAAGGGAAAACAATTCTGAGAAAAAGTTTTCAATCGTTATTTTATCACTGAATAAATGTTTTTCTAGACAAATCATCAAATTAAATGGATATTTTCATAAAAATTATTTGAGCACAAAATGTTATCAAAATATATATTTTCTCTTTTCATTGGTGTTTACTGAGCTAGTAAGAAGATGTCTATATGGAAATGCTTACCCCTTTTCAAGCAGCATGTCAATGATTTGACTATGTCCATTTTTGGCAGCAAACATCAGGGCAGTCCAGCCGTGTTCATTTTGAACATCTGCTGTCACTCCAGCTAAAAAAAAAATAGAATGCAATCTGAATCAGATGAAAAAGCAGAAGAAAATTTATAAATACCGAATTGCGACAAATTTCACCAACCAATACAAAAGTTTTGAAGAACCGTTATTTTGTTCAGACTGTGCCTCACTTATACTAAATGTCGTCTTCGTTATATATAAAAGCACATAAAATTTTTATATCTCTTAAAATGATAATCTCTTCAGGACTTCCGTGTTATTTTCTAAAAGTTTTTTAAGAAATCTCAACAGTAAAAAATAGCTTGTGGTCAGAAATGATAGGTTAAAGTTCAAGTAAAGGCCAGGATTTTTATTATACAGTAAGAAGCCTGATGCGATCGTAGCAAGTTAGTGCCGCAAGTCATAGCTTGAAAACTGCGCAAAATTATATATATATATATATATATATATATATATATATATATATATATATATATAAATATATTGTATATTATTTAGGCAGCATATTTTCATTTATACACGTTTCATTAAATAATATAGACAAGTGTTGTCTATTTATTTTATATAAAAAAAATTTCGTATCTTCTGATAAGTTTGGTAACATTATCATTACCCGAAAAAAGAAATTCACAATATTTATCCATTATTTTTTAATAAAATCTAAGCTTTCGGCTTACTCAAGCCATTATCAAAGATGTAATTACAAACATATCAAACAATATACGGACACGACAGTGATGATAGTCTGTCATTGTTTTGTTTACATAGTGGATCACTAAGCAACGATGAACACGCGCATATAAGACGCTAGAAGCGAAAATCGCACCGCATCTCATGACATCACACATGACTACACGAGAGTGAATTGTAAAATGAAATAAGGAAAGCCGTTGGTATAAACCAATGGCTTCTGTTACCAATTATAGAAATTATAGACATTTAAGAATATTTGTAGAGATAGTATATGATTAATTTAATTTTTTTGCTAGGATCGTATATTGTTTGATATGTTTGTAATTACATCTTTGATAATGGCTTGAGTAAGCCGAAAGCTTAGATTTTATTAAAAAATAATGGATAAATATTGTGAATTTCTTTTTTCGGTTAATGATAATGTTACCAAACTTATCAGAAGATACGAAAAAATTTTACATAAAATAAATAGACAACACTTGTCTATATTATTTAATGAAACGTGTATATATATATATATATATATATATAAGTAAAAGTTTGTCAGCTGATTGATGTTACCGTCAGTATCCTGACTCCAGAGTTTTGTATACAAGCACGTCCGTCCACATTTCAGGGAGTATCAGCAAATGACTGCTTATATTCTCCATCTTTTTTCTATGCACTTATTACTGGCGTAAGTTTTTCCATAGAAAGAGAGAGAGACATAGATCTACACGGCATAGTGACTATTAGTCTTGCGCGTCAAGCATTATTCAGATCATATGTCTACTATTTATATGTGCAAATGCACTACTTCCGATTCGAACATACATCCTCATAAATATAAATTATTTAAGCGCGCGCGCACACACACACACACACACACACACACACACACACACACACACACACACACACACACACACATATATATATATATATATATATATGAAGTAAAGAGGGTTGTGGGTGAAGTTCTGATCAAGATATAGCGAGAGTGAAAATCGCTCCGTATAGCCTTGCTCGTCCAGGTTGGAATTCTGTAATAATGATGAGGTCTTTCTCATCTGGCTGATGATTCGAGGCGAACTGTGAGTTGGCAAAAAGAATCTTGGCAGTTTCCTTGAAAAGATTCTTTTGCGGTGATATGGAGAGTCTCTCAAACACTCTTTTCAGTGTGTGACTCTACACTCTTTGTACATGTTTAGTGAAGCCTACATGCTTCGTATGTTCCAGGGATAATTTTGTTTTGCATTGGAAGTCAGTTCTGCTTGCAGCAACCTGAGGCTGTTTCTTGTTATGCAGAAACGCTGTGTTTCTGTTTATTACACGCTATGCTATTAGCGATTTCGGTAACGCGAAAAGAGAAGTTCGTGAAGATTTGTCTTTATCTCCTGAGCTTAAGATCAATGTTGAGAGAGAGAGAGGGAGAGAGAGGGGGGAAGGCAGAGAAAAGAGAAGACAGACAGAGAGGATTTCTCCATCGGACTTTTTGCGGAAGGTGGGCAAATGTAGTAGAATCGTGGTGTGTTAAGTGCATAGAGTAGCATTTTGAAATGGCTTTGAATAATACCGGATATGCGACGTTGTAGGAAGTCTACGAAGTAAAGTCGTAGCGCCGTAATATATATATCCATACACGCTGCAGAAGTGCCTATAACTAACTTGTGCTTGATGGATGTGTTTGCGGGGAAATTAGTGATATCTGTAACATGACCCACACACGTTTAGCAGGATTTAAGTCTAGAGAGTGCGAAGGTCAAATGACTGCTTTGAAGTAAGTTTCGTGCCACGTGACTACGATGGGGAGGTTTTGCTATTTTACAGAAACAAGAGAGAGGCTGGATAAATAGCTTCAAGCAGTCTCTTCCAAGTACTCGACCGTCTGACCAGGCAACACGGCACGAGCCTTCTTCCGTCCAATGGTAGCTATTCTGTACCAATAATAGTACCCTTTTTGTTTGAAAACTTCGCGCATATAATACAGTGAATGCTATACGATGTGTTGTTTGAAAAGTTAAGACCATTATTTAGTTGGGATATGATTTGGTGCAATGTTCCCTTTCAATAGCTAGTTAACATTATTGTACATACACCGACGACATAGGGATCCGTAGTTTTCAAATGTCGTTGATTTGCCAGTTCAAAGAGCACTCTCCAGGCTCTAACAATGGAGCTTAATCATACAGTGTACTGCTGTCACTAATTTCTGACACATCATTTTATAAAATCATAAATAGCTATTTATTAAGGTTAGTTTTGACTGGTAAAAGGTCTTAACCGTCACTAGTGAAGATTAAATCAACGAATGACCTGTGCAGTATGAAAATTATATAAAGTAACCGAGTTTGTCATTATTTAAATAGCAGTTAAAAATAAACAATAATGAAAATTAACCTGTCATGAAGTCTGATAAAAAATAGCAATAAAATATTACAATAATCTATACGAAAATTTAAAGATTTTACACTTTTTTTTTGGCGAAAACTTATAAAATAATAAACGAAGAATATCGCGATTATAGAAACTTATTTTATGAGTTTTCTTGTTTATTATACAAAAAAAAAAAAAAACGGTTGGCTCGAGATGACAAATATGCATCCAGATAATGCTACTCAAGCGCAAGTATCAATTTTCTCTCAGTTCAAATAAACTTATTAAATTTCCCGAAAGAGATAATTACATTGAATCTCAACTCTAATCTTACAATTATCACATCGATCAAGATATAACAAAGGAGACAGAAAAATTAGTTATTGATACTGATTAAACATCGCGTTGTGGAATAATTGTTAACAACCTAATCAATCAGACTATAACTATTGGAATGGATGCCTTGCATTTATAGCTTCGTTTAAGGTTGAGGCGTATCAAAGACTGAACAAAAAAAAGAAAATACTGCTGAATAAAAATTAAAAGGGAAAGAATAAAAATAAAGTAATAAAAGAAGAATGGATGCTGCAATAAAGATAAAGCTTCCTTCAAAAAACCGAAATTTCGCATTTGTTTCTGTCTTCGAACCACAAAATTATACAGAAAATTGAAGATTTATAAAAATAAGATTTTATGATTGACATTGTTTCATATAGCATGAATTAGCTCTTCAGCCTGTACAAAAAATACAAAGCGTGATAATGAAATTGCTGAAAGTCCGTTCAAATATATTGAATAGATTTCAACAGTATCCAAAGTATATATATATAAGAGAGCGATTTTTTACGAGACAATTGAAAAGTGGTTACAAAGCCATGAACAATAGACTGGATGAGAAAACAAGGAGGAAAAGCACAGGAAAGATGCCTTCCTTTTCATTGAATAAAAATGTAAAAATTATATATATATATGTTGTTGAAGCTTAAATAAGCATGGAATAATACAACACAAAATGTACGTTAACAAAATGTATTGAAACAAAGAATAGGTACACAATATTTACAGTTAGTTTGGTATATTCTTGGGAAGACTGTTCCTGCATAATGGGTTGACTAAATCGCAGTCGGGCAGTCTCTGGATTCAATTTCTTAATCTCTACTATCTTCCCCGTCTTCCGGTACCAACCCATATTTATATGGTCGGTAGTCCGCTTATGTAAATTAGGTGTATCATACACAACATATGTGTGTGTGTGTGTGTGTGTGTGTGTGTGTGTGTGTGTGTGTGTGTGTGTGTGTGTGTGTGTGTGTGTGTGTGTGTGTGTGTGTGTGAGTGAGATAGAAAGAGTGAGAGAGAAAAACTTGGTGGGACGACGGAATGACAAAACATAGGAAAGAGAGAGAGAGAGAGACTGGGCGCCATAATAAAAGTACTTATAATAAGAAGAGAAAATGACGAAGAAACCATGTAAAAATGTAAATACAAAAAAGCAAAATGTGGAGAATAATTTGGACGCAAAACAAAGCGTCGGATTGCTGTCGGAAAAGAAGAGACGGAAGTTGAAGAGAATGATGCAGCTATCAAACGACAAGCAATCCAATGACTTCCTTTAACAAAGCTACTTTGAAACAAGTGTAAAAAGTAGATTGCGGAACGAGTAAACAAGTGATGACGTGTGACCCAACAGGAACTTACTCTCAAGCCAAAGACATTATTGCACTCCCACAAATCATTTTCTTTTCTTTTTCTTCATCCTTTCTTTTTTATGTCTATGTTGTGTAAGTGTCCTTTTTATGAAATTTCTTCACTGACCACTTAAGAAGAATAAGCACTCCCAGTACTCATTACAATTTCACAAACCGAAGAAACGTAAGTTTCACTTGTATTCTCTCATCATTCTATTTGCTCAAGTGAATAGAAGGCTGTAGATATGGAACGCTGCGCCCACAGACGATCCAGGCCGAGTTCTTGTAAACAAAGAAAGGAAATGGCGTCCAATATGTGATGCAGACATCATAACAGGTCACCGATGGACATTGAATGAGAATTAAAAGATAAAATTCTATCAAGATTTTGCAATAACGTTGCGAAAACTATGGTTTATAGAAGTTCGTTTCCATAACCATTGAGCACAAGGAACTATCTCAAAAATCCTTGCAAAAACACTGAGTGTATTAGAGACAAAAAATCAAGAGTTAAATCACAGCTTTGAAGAGACTTGATGTTACTATCTCTTAAGATGATTTTGCATTGCATTAAAATTATTGTACTTCTTGTTTATTTCTTGTTATTGTTCCTCAGAAATACATAATAACAGCGTTTACAACTTGACAGTAAATGGATGTACATATGAATGAATCGTAAAATGCGCATGTAACAGAGCGATAGAAAGCAAGTGGCCACAGTTGATAAGAGCAAAGCATTTAGAACATGAAAGATAGTTACATACATGTACATAAGCTGGATTATGTATTTATATTTTTACATGAGAGATGCCACAGAGATTGTAGAGATTTTCAGTCATTTCAAATTTGCACACTTTAGGGTACATTAATCTCTGTCTCTCTAACTCTCTTTCTGTCATATATACACACAAATACATACAGACATATTGATGCGCATGTGGCCTCTGATATGTTTAGCAGTGGGTGTGAAAGCTTCTCGTTGTTAATAATGCCATGATAGTAAGATAGTTATGACAGAACATAGCCCACTTTTCTCCCTCAATCATTGTGGCACACCAGTAACAAGACATACTTGATGTGACGAAATGCAATGGTCTGCGGGTTCGTGCCTTTCTCAGAGGCATTTTAGCAAGAGGAAAACGAATAGTATCAACAAAAATCGTTTTCTAGACTGATAACTGTTATACAAGCTCAGACATGTAAATAATACACGTAAACACATTTTCCTGAAGTCAACCTTAGATATTTCAATATGTGAATTTCTTGAGTGGCTCTTATTCTGTGGAATCATAGAACTTGAGTTAAAATTATGGGTTCACTTTTTTAATTCGTTTTGCGTTGCCGACTTTTCCTTCTTGATTCGCTTTCTTAACTTTCGATGCAAAAATAAATAAAAGCTTCATTTTTTTAATGAAATATGTTTTTACTAACTTTTAGCATAGTAAATTTTGGCCTCTTTTTTTCAGTGACAAACATTAATTTTGAAATTCTTGCAAAAATCAAATAATCGTCAAATTTTAATTAAATTTTCAGGACTTATTCACAAATGAATGGAATTGTTTTGATTATTTTTTATTAGAAAATCTTGGTAAAAATATATTTTTTTTTTACCTGTGTTTCAGCCCCTTTTATGAAAACTTAAGATATACAACCTGATAATTTCTAGTGACTATATTAGTTAAAAGCAGAATTCTTTGAAGAATTTAAATAACAGAATTTTTTTGTAAAATCGGACCCCGGTCTTACAAAAATCTGTCCTGAAGCGAAAAATAAAAAAAAAAACCCAATAAAATTAAGACATTATTTAATTCGAAAAGCCTTTAATTGCTTTTACGAATAATATTTGTTAAAGATAATATTATCTGAAGAAAAAAAAATTCGATGAAAAATGAATTTTTATAAAATTTGTTTTTATCTTTTTACAATTTTAAATTGAATAATTTATAAAGTTTTTAAAATTAAAAATTCATTTTCAATGTGATAATTTTTAGAAAATAACGTTATGAAGCAAAACTATACTTACTTACTAATCATATATTGTAAAGCTTATTACAATCTTACGGCCCCGAATATTTTTAAACGAATTTCGATTTGTTTTTGTATGTGTGATTACGTGCAGAATTTCTGAAGCCTGGATATACAAATCAATAAATCTATCTATTACGTGTTTTAAGGGTTGTCCCTCCTTTCATTTACAACGAAAAAACTCTCAAATTTTATCGTCTGCCCCACCATACTTAACTATGAACACGTTCGGCTGTCAATTGGGTATCAATAAATTGTTTAACACGTCAGAAAAAACAGACCCCGTAGTTAAGAAATGTTTGTATACAACATTTTATGCTATAAGTAAGTAATATTTCTTTCAAATCAGATTAATTTAATTTTAAATTTGCTAATTTTCATCAAATACCATTTCAGAAATATATATTTTATTTTTGCAAGATTTTTAAAACTGAGAATTAATATTTTGCTTACTGGAAATAGTAAATTTTAAATCCTTTAGCTTTCATTTATAGCTAAAATGTAAGCTTCAAGAAAGCTTTTTCAATTAAAAAAAATTCATTTTAAATCTTACGTATAGCGAATTAGTGGAGGTACCTAAATGGGCAGTTACGATGACTGAGAAAATGCTTTATGATAGCAGGTGCACTAATCTTCCGATGGTTGGCGTATACGTTATTCTTTTTTTCGCCTGTAAATCATTGCCCGAATTCATAAAAATATATCTACTTTCTATAATAGTCGATATATTAAAAATAATAAATACCAATTTGTCATTTCGAAATAAATTTTTTGGTTAAATAATAATTATATAATCTGTTAGATTTTAAAGGGAAATTTTCGAAAAACTTGTAATTTTCAAGTTTTCTTTATCAATTTTTATACTTTTATTTTGCGACCGAAAACATTTATAGACACTCAAGTAGGGCGTCCACCGTAGAATGATAGTTACCAAGCTATTTACTAATGCAATGAATTCGAACCTTACTGTGTTGTTTACTTCTGTATTTTTGTATCAAAATAAAAATAAAGTTCATAAATAATCTAAAATGCTTAAGTCTCTTCTTACTTTGCAGTAGATGTGCCACCTCGTGGATATCTCCTGCAGCTGATCTCTCCAGCAAACGTTCGGCGAATATATCCATCTCCTGTGTTTGGAGAGTTCCGCTCGCAGATGGTGAATGACTATTCCGACAGTACCAAACCCACTAAAAGAAAAACAAAACAAAACGCTTTAATAAAGTATATATATCCATACAATTATAAATTTATACAGATATATTGGATGAAAGTGGAAAAATAAATTTGTAAGTCGATTAACAAAGGTGGGGTTATTATTTCATTAATATCGTGATGTCTATACATAAAGTCCTCAGATTATTATTATTAGTTTATTATCAAAATAATAATTTTCTACGGAGTAAACAAAATCAGACATATCTTTTGGAGGTATTATCTATAGACATGTTTTTTAATTATTTGCCCTCATCCTTCATTATAGAGGAATGCAAGGCACTTTGATGCAATTTTTTCCTAATTGACTCCAAACAATAACCCCGCTGATTGCGCTGAATCTTGACAAACATACTCCAGTATTTTGGCCGTTTGTTGAATTTACTTTGAATTACATAGAATGCAGAATTTTGACAATATTATACCTTTATGATGTTATGTCAAATGCATCAACCTGCATGATCCGTGGGGCACACTGATGCACGCGGTAGATCATGTTGATGTAGGACTAAATAAATTGATGCAACGAATTAACAACGCTAAAATTGGACTTAAATGCTATTTTTAATGTAGTCAAGAGAATATCTGAATCAATAAAAGTAAAAAAAAGTGTAGTAAACCCAGGAACAGTCTCCACAACTCGAACATTGGATCTACTCCTCCCCACCCTGAGATTTTCCATACGCATCGCAACAGTAATTGCAGTACTATTCATCTGCGTCTGATTAACAATCTTTGATCATTTCTTTTGCTGACAGGGGCTTTCTTTTCTGTCCCCTCTGCCTTTTCCATTCTTTTGACACTTTCCTCCTCCACCTGAGATTTTCTTATCAATGCTAGTTTTCTTGGTTAATAGAAAATTTTTCACTGGTGTGTCAGTGAGAATTTCGCTTTTTCTATTTCTTGCATCAACCTACCCAGCCATTTGAGTAAAGTCTTGATCCACATTATTCGCAGAACTTTGGCAAGTGAACTCGTTTAAAGGAAAATGATAGCAGTTTATCATATTACAAGAGCATAAAGATATTTGCAAATCAGTTTGACTTGGAAAAAAATTAGAACAAAAATATTATTTACTAATCGCGCTAAATTACCAAATTTGGTTCAAAATATTTTCGATTCAAAAGCTTTAATCTGTATTCATGAATGAAACAGGAAGGCTTAAATACGCATGTGCTGATGCTACTTGCAAACGAATAGTCACTTCTGTTTCTGAAATATGTGTTGCGCATCAACCTACCCCGTGCATCGATGTACCCTGCTTTGCCATAGTTTCATTTAATTTGACAAGTAAGGAAGTGCAATGAATCCGATCTCGTACTATCGACAGTTCCTCAAAGATCATAAGTCATATGGTTTCGTAATTCTTAACATTTTGTTTGCTGTACTTTATAATTGTGTGTGCGTCAAGGAAAAATTAATTCTTGCCAAAATATATTCAAAATTTTTCGACTTAATAATATTAGTTGGAAATGCTTTTCTTCAAACTTGATTGTACGAGCTTAACGGAAAATGCCGAATGCGCTTTTAGTGATGTAACAAATTACATATGTCACATTTTCGGTTTGCGCAATCGTAAGAAAATTATCAACTAAGCTGTTTTCTTAAAAAATAATTCAACATCGATCAAAATTGATTCTGCTGTTCAGAAGCATAAAATTATCGTTCTCTTTCTTTCACTTTCTCTTTCTTTCTTTCTTTCTTTCTTTCTTTCTTTCTTTCTTTCTCACAGTTAACAGCTTTATAATTTATGCCTCGTTACATTTAATTCATATGTCAATAGTTGTCTACACATTGAGGAAAAATAAAATTTCAACACCCTGAAGAACGATACTGAATTTGACTTGCGTACACGGGTATATGTATGAGATACGGGTGAGTAGATATTCTGATAAAATGTTAAAAGTCTTCGGCCATCTTGTGGCGTAGCAACACTCAACCTAGTTCATTGTCTGTATATCAGCCATAGATGGTGGCACATGCTACAGGAGAGCATAGTGTATATAAGCATCACGACGCGGAATCGCACATACACAGCTTCTGTTCAATTAGAATCGTTTAAAATGATTAGATTGTGCATCTTCAAGAGGTTGGATAGTAACTTCAGAGAAGGGCTGCACATGTTGGAGTGGTACGTTGTTCGTACTTCGATGTAGGCAACAGTGTTCAAAATAACATACCTAAATACATAGATCAGGTTCTGGACGGCCACGTAATACAGATGCTGATCAAGATCGATGAATTGTTAGGACAAACCATGGTACAGATTAGAGCAAATGTGACCTCAGTAGTGTCAATACAGACGTCTGGCAATTGTTTATCAGCAGATAGTCCACGGACACATGCATGTCTTCAGTGATTTTGCCAGACATATCTGGGAAATAAAATGATTCTCTATTGTGTCAAATGATTTTGCCTTCATATAAGTAATCGTAATTTATGTGTGTGATTTAGACCTTCCAAAGTGTATTCTCTTACGACACTTATGCTTCACATCAGGGAATGGCGGATTCTCCAGACCTTCTACCCACTGAACATGACTCGTTAGTTCAAATATAAATTTTGCTCTATTGCATCAATAGATGTGAGAGGTTTGAGAACATGTATTTTTGGATTCGCCACCTGTATGATTTTGTACATACTAAAATGCAGCGCCGAAAGAGGACATATTGAGTAATGTTGAAATATTGTTTATTTTGTATACTTGTATACATACTCATCTGTATACGTGATCAATTATTGTAATCCAAGTATATTACTTGTTCCTTTAATATTGAATAGATTTAAATATTAAGAGTGTTGTAACTTTATTTTTTATCGACTTATGTATACACTTCCAAAGCTGAGAACTGCAGGTAGTTCTAGACCAGGTACTAAAGGAAAACGAGAAGACAGAATGTATAGTTATTTACATTATTCGGACTATTGACCAAGATCGATGAATTGTTACGGCAAACCACGGTACAGATTAGAGTAAATGTGACCTCAGTAGTGTCAATACAGATATTTGGTAATCATGTCGCCATATTTATTACAACATTTCAGCCGTTGTACGCTCCAGCCTTCTTCAGGTAGTTGGAATGTCGAAGTGAACCCTTTATTTCGCCCACTGGGGTAGACTGTTCTAGTTCCACGTGTCATGTTTAATGGATGTCAGTTATCAGTTATCTCCTGTTAATTTCCCTCTGAACTGAACTGCCTTAGCCGGGTATTGAACTCACACTTTTGGGGTCCTGTCACTGGATCTAACTAACACCTTTATCCACTGTGCCATGTGTCCTTGAGGACATCTCTGTATGAATTTCTGGGTATTATAAACCTAATGTCTTCACCTATTTTTTTACCAGTGCTCATATTACAATTTTTGCTGTTATCATATCATGTTTTTTACCAGAGCACATATTGCAATTTTTGTTGTTATTATCGCTTTTCTCTGGCACTCCTTATTACTAGTTCTCATATTGTATTCATTTCTATGCTTGGTCGGCTCAGGAGATTTTTGTGGCCTAGTGTTGTAGAGTAGTTTTCACAGTGGAGGCTTGTATTTCACTAAGTCTGTTCTAAATTAGGTTCGACGTACAAAACGTTAGGAACTTGCAATAATAGTTAATGACGCAGCAATCTAGTTGTGGGGCTCATACTTTAATGTCCGACATCGACTGACTCACACAACTCACTGAGCTCCCCTGGCGACTGCTACTACTACTACTTATTATCTGTGGGAGAGTCTATTTACAATAGAATAGGTACGTTCTGGTATAACAACCCCCTAAAACCTTTCTCCGTAGGAGTAAAAAGTTTTATTTATTTTTCATTTTTTTACAGAAAATATGAAGAAAAAACAACAAAATTTTTCTTTTTTTCTTTTAGCAACATCGTTGCGTATTTCCTACGTTTTTCTATCCACTTTTAAATAATCAGTTGCCTTTCTTTTTTTCTTCTGGATCGGCGTACCTTAGGTAAAATTATTTGCAGGGGTTGTTAGATCAAACTTATTGAAAATCACCTCCATCGGCATATTTTTTGTTTTCTTTTTTTCGTGGGACTTCTGTCAACCAAGTCTGAAAAACGTCGTCTGATCTCGTTACTGCACGCGAGTTTTTCCCCTTTCACCAAGTACCTCATATAGCCAATCCACTTTTCTATTTTTTTAATTTTTTTTTATACCTCCATAGTGTTACCAGAAGCAACCTTCCGCTTTGAACTTTTAGTTTCTAGTTATTCCGTCGTTCACTTCGTCGGACTTTAATTATCTTATTTTGAAGTCTTTATTTTTTTGACCTGCAGTGCGAGCTTTTATGCTCCACTCTTTCACAGTTGAAACATTTTTTATTCCTAAAATTGCAATATCTGTACCATTGAAGTTCACCGCAGGCAAAACATGGCTTCGGGAGTTTTTGTTTATTTTTTTTTTCTGGTATTTCACTTTTTGTTTGATAATCCGCAATTTTAGAATTCTTTTTGGTAGACTGACTTTCTTTTTTGTAACGTATTTTCCTTACATGCGAAACGTCAGACTGTTCTATCTTTTTCGAATTTTTCTTTACGTTAACATATCTTGTGCAGTCTTCTGCCAAACTCAGTATCGTAAGACTTTGTTGGTTTTCCAATTTTGATAATACCAATTTCCTCAATTCTGCGTCACTTTCTGATACCAGTCCTTGAACAAACACTAAGCATTTAGAGTTGTCAGCGCTTAATTCTGCTAGCTTGAATTCTTCCCAATGCTTGTTCACATTGGCTGCATACGTTATATAGTCTTGTTCTTCATCTTTCATCAGATTCAAACATTTCCACCTCTTGTGAAACAAAGATGTCTTTTTACTAAATAATTCACTTAATATATTTACCGCCTCGGTAAAAGTTAACTCGCTAGTTTTTTTTCGGTAAAATGTAGTTTACCAAGTTGTTATGCTCAGCAGTTCCTAACTTGCTTAAAAGAAGTCTAACCTTCTTTCCTTCAGACCACGTGTGG